TTTTTATCAAATATAAAATGAAATAATTTTTGAAAAAAATATTATTTTAAAGAAACATGCAAATGTCTTAAAATTAGAATAAAGAAATTTATTCTAGCTGAATAGAATATTGCAAGTTTGGTTTATGAAAATTTATAATTGCTTTACGAATAATAATTAATCAGGTTAATCTACTATTAATAAAGTAATTTACCAGATAAATGATTGATATCTTTATCAATATTTAAAATCATTTGTAATGCTGTTATATAATCATTTATAGAATGTAAATTTCTTTCTTGAAATCTAACTAATTATATTCTATTCATTGATTTTATTTTTCTTTTTATAATTAAATTATCATAGTTATATACTATAAGCAAATCAGTTCAATCAAAATTTCTAATATTTGACTCTTTAGTAAGCCATAGTTTTTATGATTAATATAAGTAATATTAAAATTTTATGATACTGATATATTAATTGAAAATATATATTGCTTGCATCAATATTTACTGTATTATGTACTGAAATATTATTATAAATAATGGGAATTAGTGTATATATTAAAACCTATTTGCAAATGTATGTAACTATACATTTAATAATAGATAAGAATACTGTATCAGGTTTTTATTTTTCATGTATATTATGATAATCATTCAAATTATAAATATATAAAAAATTATTCTAACAGATATATTAAATTTCTAATAGATATATCAAATTCAATATAAATTTTATTTGTTTATTTAATTAAATAAAAAAAAAATTACATATATTTTATAAAAATATATCTATCTGTTCAAAAAAAAATTCTCTGATTTTTATCAGATGTTCATTTACAAGTTTTTTTTATAATTATTAATTGTTATATAGTAAGAAGAAAGTTCAATACTATTTATTATATCAATTGCAATTTATGATACTTCTGATGCTAATAAATACAACATTGACAAATTTATTTTATATTTTAACCATAATGTAGTATAAACTCACAACTGATTTTTTTGCTTCAATTTTATTATACATAGATCTATTATTAGAAATAGTGTCATTGACATTTAATTAAAAAAAATTGTATAATTGTGAATTAACTTCTTTAATTATTTATTGAAAATAATTAGGATCAAATTCTATATTAGCAATTTTTTGACTTTAATATAATACTTTTTAAATATTATAATTCAATAAATGTATAATTATTTATTAGTTCTGAAAAAAAAAATTAATTAATAATTTTCATAATTAAAATAATAAAAATAATTAATATATTTTACCATTTGTTATTATAGTTATTATAGCTTAATTTAATTCATTACTTTTATAGGAGTAGTCTTTAGTAATAAGATTCAACAATATTCATATAGTGAATATAATATAACTGTTACCCAATTTTTAAGTAAATAAAAGATATATAGGTTTCTTTTTCTTGTGTTTTTTTTATAAGCTAATAAAGTAAATTGATGAAAATAGTTTATTTATTTATTACAATTTTATACAGTATACAGACCTTCATTTTTCTTTTTCACTATTATAAAATTATCTGTAAAATAGCAAAAAAAGTAAAACTTATATGTTATTAATTAATTAACTAATCAAATACTTAAAATCTAATAATTATCAGCTAACAATATCAACTTTACTTATACTAATAATTTACCAATTAATATTTATTAAAAATAATATATAGCTCATTAAAATAATCATAATAACTAGTATTAAGTAAATTTATATTTATAATATTAGATGAAAATTTTATTAGCAAATAAACTTAGATTTGCAAGAATTAGATATAACTAATTGTAAAATCTTAAAATATTAAAAATTATTTTATAAAAGTTTATAATTAGTTGTAATTAAAAAGTTATAAGCTAGATTATAATTATTTAGTAATATCTCTATATTAGAAATATAATTGATAAGTTATTATAATTTAAGTTACTTAAATTACAATTTTTTTTATAAATTAGGTAACGAAAACTGTTAAAAAGTCTAAAGCGAAATCTTCTAATACTTAGGTTTGTTATTATAGGTGATTACTATTTATAATTATATAATAATTATAACTAATAACAGATTGACTCAAATCATAAGCAGGAGGAATCCAGAATATTTTTGAGTCAACATTCGTAGAATTTAATAGTCATTTATTATACTCTAGACTAATAATAAAATATATATATAAGTTTTTAATTAAAGATTAAAATAATTAAAATTTTCTATTAATTACATAATAACTTTAAAAATAAATTAGTATAAACTAGTAGAACTAGCTGTTAGAATAAGTTTGTAATTTTTAAATGATTAGATCCTGACTAAATCATTATTTCAAATTTGATATAATATCTGAAAATTGAGAAATTTATGTAACTGGTATTATTAGCTTAAACTTAATAGGATAGAACTAATAGAAATACATGAAAATAAAAACCTAAAATTTGAAATGAAAGTAAAAAATATTACATGATTTATTATACATTAACCTATAATAAATTACTGGTTTTAGTCATGTATTTTACACATCAGTTTCACAATTAGCGTTTTTTTCTTTTATGCATATAAAGATGCAATTTCAAAAACTAAAACATTTATGTTTCTTTTCTATTGCTAAAATGTGAGACAAAGAATTGTCAATTATGTAGTGTAAAAGAATTATTAGTACATATCTTAGTGGTATTATACAAATAATTATTTTAACTCAACTAAATATTCCTCCTAGTACAGTATATAATACAATTAAAATATATAGAAAATAGTTCTGTAGAATTTGAAAACCATTCTAATTGCCTAAAAATGTTTACCAAATATGATAGTCAAGTTTTACAATGCATTATCTATGATAATCTCTTGGTAATATAATGAATAATTTAAATTTTAGACTTAATATTATATTTCAAATTAATTCTATTAGAAAATACCTTTATGTTAAAGGTTTAGGTAGTTATGCTACTTGTATTAAACCTTATTTAATTGAATAACAATGAAAAATAAATTTCAATAAGGTAAAGAAAATAGTAACTGAAAAGAGGAATAGAAGTAAGTGGTATGGTCAGATGAATCTAAGTTTGCTTTTTTTCAATATGATAGTCATATTAAAGTTTAGAGAAATCCCAAAGAAGCATACATTTAAAATTGGTAATAACGAACCTTTTATAGCGAACTCTGAATATAATGAACTCAAAAATTTTTTAAATTTTAATATATTCATTATCAAGAGTGTAATGGTTCATATAGAAAACATAGTATTTGTATAACAAACTTTTTTTAACAGAATTGTCAGTTTGTTATAAAGAGTGTTGACTGTATAATCAAAATTGTATTCAACTTACAGTTAAATTGGTGGATCAGTAATGTTTTGTGTTGTTTTGGCATGGAATTGGACCTCTGGTTGTAGTAGATGGAAATATGAATTCTGATGATTAAACTTGCTAATTCATTTATACCATGGGTTAGTAATTATCCCAGTTCTGTTTTTTAGCAAAATGGAGCTTCCTGTCATACATCTTTATATAGATAGTATTTGGTGGATGGCAATATATTATAATATTCCAATTTTAGATTGGGTGGCGCAAAATCTGGATTTAAATCCGATCAAGAACTTGTGGAAATATTTAGACTATCAGGTCCGAAAAAGAAAGCCTTTACCTAAATCAAAACAAGAGTTAATTGATGCTGTGAAAGTTAAATGAAAAAAAATTAGCTTAGAAACATTATATCACTTAATTTTAAAGCTTACTTAATCATGTCATGCAGTAATTAAAGCTAAAGGGTGGACACATTAAATATTAGTCTGAAAATGTTTAAATTTTAAGTAATATAAATGTAAATGTAATGCTTTTATTTTGATAAAAATTATTTAATTTATTAATAAATTTTTTTTTTCGCTATATTGTAAAAAAAAAAAACCAAAATTATCTATTTATTGTAAAAAAATGTACAATCCCGGTCAACATTGCTCTGTTCCTCATAAAAACTATCATTCGATATCCCTTTATTTTTTAGAATTATTGAATTATAATACTGGCCGATAATCAATCGCGACTGGCTGATCAAAAAAACGATGAATTTTAACACTTTGGATTGTTAAGTCGCAAGGAATCAAAGGTAGTTGTTTCATGAGACACGGAGCTATATTGACCGAGACTGTACACTTTTTTTGTTTTTTTTTAAATATGAAAATCATGTGAAATAATAACGCTGATTTCGACCATTTCGACTTTAGCCTTCAATAGTCGACCAATTCGATCATTTCGACAATTTTGGATATTCTAATTTCTAAATATTATTTTTGTTTATTTGGATTAAAAATGGTAATAATCTGCCGAGTACTCCTTTCTTTTTATATGGGTAAATTCAATTAATACATAAAAATATTAAAAGAATCATTATTCTTATACACATATAACAAAATATCACTAATTTCTACATATTCACCATCACAATATACAATCATCATATCCATTTCCACATTTTTTGGCACAATCATTTTTTGGATACGTAATAAATGCAAAAATTAGAATTTTTTGGAGCTCGTCTCCGAATAATCTTTGTTTTTTGATAATATTTACGCCTCCGACATTATGGAGTCAATAAAAAAATTTTGCAAATGTTCCAATCAGCCGAATTCCAAAAATTCTGGAACATGAACTGTCATATGTCTCATTAATAATTGATTAATTTATTGGTCATATTGAAGATGCACAATCATTGATTTCATATGACTAATACAATGAAAAAAAAAAAATCTTCAAAAGCCTAGAAAATGGATATAAACAAATAGAATTCTAAGAATTATATCACTTTTATTTTACGTAATTTTTCAAACTTATGCTACGCTCATGGTTTTAATTAACCAAAAAGAATAACCAAATGAAGGTAATTATCATTTCAATTAAATTTTGACGCGTGTAACACTGAATATTTAGATCTGATCGGAAAAAAAATTTTTTTTTTAAACCAATTTTTTTACTTCCTCTTTACTTTGTTTCTATCTTTTAATACGAAAATAAAAAAAAAATATGCCTTCAAAACCAAATACCGATCAAACTAATGTTTATCTCGAAGAATTAACACATTTAAAAAGTTTATTACAAACTATTAATGGACGTATTGAAAAAATTGAAAAGGAAGTTTTCAAGCCTTCTCATGAATTAAGAATGGTGCTTATGGGTCCACCGGGAGCTGGTAAATTTTTTCAAAAGAAATTTAATAAAACGACAGATTTTTAATTATTTACTTGAATCCTTTAGGTAAAGGAACCCAATCTCCAAGAATCAAAGAAAAATATTGTATTTGTCATTTAGCTACAGGAGATATGTTGCGTTCACAAGTAGCAGCAAAAACTAAACTCGGTTTAGAAGCTAAAAAGATTATGGATTCCGGAGGGTTGGTTTCTGATGAAATTATGGTTGGAATGATTCATGATGAGTTACAAAATAATCCTGAATGTAAAAAAGGGTAAGTTACTTTATTTTTTTTAAATACTTTTTTTATATTATAAATATTTTTTTTTAAAAAAAAAAAAAAAAAAAAATAGATTCATTTTGGACGGATTTCCTCGAACGGTACCACAAGCAGAAAAACTTGATGCTATGCTTGAAACAGATAAGAAAAAACTTGATCATGCTGTTGAATTAGTTATTGACGATAATTTATTGGTTTCACGCATTACCGGTCGTTTGATTCATCCTTCTAGTGGTAGAACTTACCACAAAATTTTCGAGTAAGCTTGTGAAATATTACTTTTTCCTTTATATGGTTCTCTCTTTATTTAAATCAATACATAATTTTTTTTCTTTATAGCCCACCGAAAGTCCCTGGTAAAGATGATATTACCGGGGAACCTTTAATTCAACGTTCAGATGATAATGCTCAAACGTTAAAAAAGAGATTGGTTACTTATCATAAACAAACTACTCCTGTAGTAGATTATTATAAACAGAAAGGTATTTGGTCAAGCATTGATGCCTCTCAAAATCAAAATGTTGTTTGGAAAAGTTTATTGGCTATTTTCGGCGAAAATAAGAACAAATAAGGTAAGATAAAGATTTTGAACCTTAAATTTTTTTTTTTTTTGATTGACTTAATAATAATAATTATTATTATTTTTTATTTTTTATTTTTTCCTACAAAAACTTTTTTTTATTGTTAGTTTTATTTCGTTTAATATTTTTTTTGCATAGATTGCAGTATTATAAAATAAATTCTTAAATCAATAATTAGTTAGAATAATATTTAATTATTACGATAATAAATCTTATACGATTTATAAATTAAAAAGTTTTTTATTTCAACTATCCACTTCACTTAAAAATGTTTGTTCTTTAACCAACGTTCTTTCTAATCTATATCCATTCTTTCCGATATTTTTTGTATTATACTTTCACGCCAATCAAGATAATCATCATATAATTGTGTTTCCCAGTAATTGACGATTTTCTACGATATAATATAAAAAGCAAAGCGTTGAAAAAATTATATTTAAAAAAAACTATATCCTATATCATTAAATACTTACCATTTCTCCTCGCGAATTCATTGGTCCAATACAAGTTATCTCATCTTCAGATTCTACTGCTTGTCTGTTACATTTTTCAAATGACTTTGAGGTTTCTTCTACCTTGGAATATTTATTATTGGATTCTTCTTCTATATCATCATCTTGGAATGTCCGTTTCCTACCTCTTTTTCCTTTACCACTATCATTCATTTTATCATCTTCTTTAGGTTTAGACTTTTTTTTTTTAAGAGGTATCGGTTTTTTAAACGTTATTCTGCATCCAGATAACTTTTTTCGCGATTTTAATTCGGCAATGTAACTTTTGCAATGGGTTTCAACTAGTTTCGTATATTTATTTAATTCAACACGAGTTATTGTAACCTCTGGTAGATCGATTAATTCTTGTTGACTTATTTGACTTTGACCCTGTATGTGATAAAACGTTGTTTAATGATAACAAAAAAAAAGTGAACTTTTTCATATAATACTTACTCCGAATGTTTTGCAAATACACCAAAATATAGCAACTTTAAATACGGGATTATTCCAATCAATTGTTCTAAGGTTAGCGTTTGTCAACTTTTGTGACCAATTGATTTTGAAAATTTCGAACATAGATTCAAGGTAGGGTAAAATTTTTGGACAATCAAAACGTGATGCCAATAGATCAAAATTCAAAGTGGAAATGACTAAAGTTTTCTTGATGTAAGAAAGAGAAGAATAATAATTCTGCTCAGTTGTACTTGCAAGTTTTGCGATGGAGTCTTTATCAAATGGAATCCTTAATCTTTGTAAAATTGAAAATATTAGTTATTTTGTTCCCGTTTAAAAATATGAGAATAAACATTATAAGATAATCATAAAACATGTAAATTATATATATACATTTCGCACGCGATGTGAATACAAAGTACGGGTTTACAACTCGGCCAATTTGACATGAGCCTGGCATTTATTTTCCTATCAACTTCTTTCTGGAGCTCATAAGCTTTTGCTTTAATTGCTGTTTCATCATTTTGCAAATTAAGTTCACGTATTACGTTCATAAAAACATTCGTATTTCTTCTTGACATATTGTTTTTTATTTCTAATAAAGAAATAAAATTTCAATCTATTAATATTTTACTCGAAAGCAAGTTAATAATACATTTAAAAGTTGCTTTTTTACGCGAATGTGCATGAACATCAGACATGTATGACGAAAGCATATCATGTTGAGATTCCAAATTTGATTAGATATTCGTCCAATAAACCCAATAAAATGTCTTCACGTGAATATCAATCATTTTCTTTAATTGAAATATAAACTTTATATTATTAAAGTTGCTAACCTTATATTTAATCTTAAATTTAAAATTTTATTTTTAATTAAGTTTTATTAAAAGATTAGATATACAAAAATATATTATTTTAATTAGACCAAAATATAAAAATAACTCTTTGATAAAATAATTCTTATTATTTTAATGTTTTATATATAATTTTCTTCTAAATTATTCGGTTTTATTATATGTGAGGTTTTCTATTAAAATTCATTTTCGGAAATTATTAAAAGATAAAATTTATTTATTATTTGCAGAATTACCAGACCGTTAAATTCTATATTTAAGACTAATTCTCCGTAAATCAAACTTAAAAAAAGAAGTTATTTTAATAGCCATGCAGTTATTTTAATGAATTTCATAAATTCACAAATTCAATATTTGAAGAAGCAATAATTGTAATGAACTTGCATGAGAAGGACACCAGGTCTCATCGTGAAAGAATATGTGTCTCGATTATGTATCATTCAAAGTTACACAAGCATTCTACATTGCTCAAAATTCACGATATATTGTCTATGTAATAAATAATTCATTGATCGATGATCGCACATCTTCAAAAGATTGCTTTGCAAGTTTCTATTCATTATGTTTAATTGTTGAAATATAACTACTGTACATGGCCAATTTTTTGTCCTTCCCTTCAAGAGATTTCTGAAATTCATCAGTCAGCAGAAAGAGATGTGAAGTCGATTATTACGCTATTCTGAAGATCTGAAAATCTTCTAATGTTAAAATGCGAGTTTGTTACAAGACAAATAAAATCTTGGATTTTTACTTTATAATATATATGCCTCCGAAAATTCTTATATAAATGTAGGGTAGAAACAATTCTCTTGGATACTTTTAGACTTCACATATAAAATAAAAATACGATAGTTTAATCTAAAAACAAACTATTGAAATACAACACACCATCCTCGTGATCAATATCCATGATAATGCAATGAGTGGGCTCAGCTTTAGTCTGACCCATTACCCTTCTCTTCAAAAGTCATCCGATAGGCAATCGCGTCACGAACAAAGGTTATCCAAATTCCGTCATACTCGTTATCATTCAATTCTCCACACATAATTTTCATGAAATCTTCAACTATTCTTCCGGTCAAAAGTTACATAATCTCATTGCGATCCCGCGACTATAGAAAGCGGTTGATGAACGTTCGTGTAAAGAGCGTCATTCCCTTGAAGCTTTTGATTCGTGAAATTGTTAATAAATGTCCAAAGACGTTTTTTGCTGAATATTACATTGGAAGACCGTTTTTATTGATGGTTGTCCAATGTCTATGATTTTTAGCGAAATCTGAAAGAGCAGCTCCAGAAGGACAAATCGTCTTTTTTCCTATCTGACCCGTCTTAAGCGTATGATTTTTTTTTTATCAAAAATTATTTAAACAAAGATAAACAAACGAGAATTTTTTAAATAAATTTCAAATATTGAGATGAACCCTGCTTCATCATATTCTTTTCCTCTACAGGTTTACTTACTATAAGGGCCGTGTCCTAATCCGAAATAAGATAGAATCGTTTATAAAAAAAAATACATTTCAATAGCCTGAAATAGTGTGTTACAACTTACAAGTCAAATATATAGATAAATCTTCGTTGTGTTACTTGATCTTCTAACCAGTTTCCGAGTCGTTCACGTTCTCGTCAACTTGTATTGCGAGTTTTTAATCTCGTTAGCGCTGATTATCCATAACTTTAGTTTGTATGTTTCGATGCCAATTAAAAATGTTCTTTTTCCGCAGTAAAAGTATCATTCTCTTGAATCTCGACTTCAAACGGAATAAAATATTTATGGATAAGGCAAAATACTTTCATTGTAATTTATTTTCATTAGCAAATACAGAACCGTAGTAATTTAAAATTTGTGATAATTAATTATGAACAAGGATCGGACTATCGGAATCGTTAGCACAACAAAGTCGGACGTCTTTGATTCTTTAACATAATGAAGCATGAATATAAAATCATTTTTATCCTATTCAGTTTATTTTAGTTTTAACTTTCAAAGTTACTTGTAGCACCTTTCGCTAGGTCCATTAACGCATTATTCAAAAAATAATGGTGGTTCTTTCCACCATGGAATGTCAGCAAATGATCCATTTCTTTGATTCCGTCTTCGCAGCTCCAGCATTCAATTTTTATATGATCAAGGACGTCCGCAGAAGGCATTTGTCTCATTCATTCCGCAAAATTAACCTTGTTTTCATCTATGTTACATATTAAATAAATATAACTTTTGCCAACTGATAACATTGATTGCATTGCGTTCATTTGTAATAATTAAAAAAATTATGATATCTAATAATTTAAAAATTAAAAAAGAATAAAGCTAGCCAAATTTAAGTAAGCCACTAATAGATAAATAAAAAGGAGAAGGACGTTCTCGTTTCCAGCTCTCCAATTTATTTACTAAATAATGGGCAATCATAATGGAAAAAATTAAGTAGATAAACAATTAGAGAAGGACGTTCTCGCACATTTTCAGGAGCAAACTCGCTAAACATATTAGTTTTTGTTATGTAAAGGAAGAAATAACCAAATTTCTTTTCCAGGATTAGACCTTCACTAAAAAAAAAAATGCTTACTAGAGAGGAGGCCACGAAACGCTTCCAGTTCTCTATACTACTGGTTTAATTTACCCAAGTGAATCGAAAACGAATCAAGTCTACTAGACTACTGCTGGTATTAATTCGTCCAAAACAATTCTTACCTGATGTAAAATTTTAAGAGGTTTGTATTTTTGTATATAAAAAGGGGAAAAATATGGTGTTGACGGATTGAATAATATTTTTTTTTATAAATAAGGGAGAATTATTATTATCTTTCATTACACCTTCCAGAAGGATTAAACGGTATGCTGAGTTGAATATGTAAGAAGGTATATAATTCAAAACACGTGTTCATACAAATTTAAAACGATATTTCGGAATTTGGGACGAATGCTGAGAAAAGGGCAAATGTTTTTCAATTATCCATTTTACAAGAATTAATTTTTCAATTTGATCCATTCTCATGAAACTAATTTAAATTCAACGTTTCATTTATACATCTATGACGGATAACGAAATCAAATTGAACCAAAATCATTTTAAGAATTGAATAAATTATTTTTAGTAATTGAAACACAAAATATAATTTAATTTACTCTCGAACAAGTTTAAATCATCACCATAAAATTATCGTACCATGGATTCCAGCTTTATGATTTCGATCTGATTCGATTCAACAAGTGATCGGTACACATGATTAGTCAGTCTATATTTTGATATTAAAAAATATCTTTTATTATGAACGTTAAAAATATATATATATGTATATATATAATGTCAATACATTAATAAACTTCCATTATACAGTATAAATAATTATTTTTACCACAGATGATATACATGTAGATTTAGGTACCAACAACTTTTTATGCGAATCGCTTTACATTGAATATTTCTAGCATTCATTATACGACTGATAGGATCACGGAATTTGGCCAAATTTCTGATACATATACAGCTAAGGCTCTATATAATTCTCCGTAAACCATAATAATCACTTTCCTTCTGGCATCGTCCATCTGCAAAATTAAAAATAAAAAAAATAAAATAAAATAAAATATAATGAAAAAAAGAAAAAAAAAAACTTTGGCAAAAGGAAGTTCATAGTACTGAATTATAAATTTCGATAACAGATAATAAAAAGATAAGAAAAGAAAAGAAAAGAAAAGACAACTAATTGAGTCATCAAATTTGTACATATCAGAAATGTATGTTAATAAAAAAGTAAAAAATCGCAATACGGAACGATACAAGGAAAGGAAAGCAAGGACAGACTCTGCACTTATTGTCATGTTAACTCCATGGAAACGTAGAAATTGCGAGATATAAGATTCTTTGAAAGCAGCGAAGTCGCTGATTTAACTTCCAAAAGAACCGGGTAATGAAGAAAGTACATACGATTTTGTATGCCTTTTCACGTTCCGTCTTATGCAATTTCGTTTGTATCTTCCGTATTATTCCACGGCAAAATGGTTATTCAAATGAGCAGGCCTTGGTGACGAGAAAATAACTCGTTTCTCGATTTCCATCTTGCATTCTTAGCACACCAATCTTAGCCAATTGACGCAGGAGTCCAACCAGGTGAAAAGTAGCGAAATTTATCACGAGAATCGCTTGCTTTTGGATCCGATAAAGTTTCATTATCTCCTGTTTTTGATGATGTCGTAATATTGTTATTGGTGGAATCCATAAGCCAAAATAAGGAATTGGGATTTTGTTCATTTGTACTAGCGTTATTCATATCTTCTCCTTGATAAACTAATTCATTAGAACCATTGACTTTATTATCATGCATTCCATTAAATAAACAATCATTACCATTCTTCAATGGAAATTGGGTGCGCATGATATCAAATGATGAGAATCCGAATGCGTTGGAGGTTTGAAACAAAGACTGTTGGTAAGTGTTTTGTTGCTGATCCAGTTCATCCATATCAAGGTTGGGTGTATCAGAAGTAAATCCAGGAGGTGCTGTTAAAGTTGTTGGCACAGTAGAAGAAAAACTAGTCGAACCAGAATAATTATTCATATTTGAATTCGAATGACCAAACAAATCAAATTGGGACACTCCACCATCCGCATCCGGAAAAGCAAATAAGGAAGCACTCGAAGGGGTAGTTACATTTTGGTATGATAATGATGATTTGGAATCATTTAATGAACGTTTTGTAGATGGAACAAGTGGATCTTGCGAAGAGTTGGGAACCCCAGAGACAGGTGTTGGACTCGCAAATGAAGTTGAATCATAAGCACCAGTATTTATGTTCGAAAAACCATTAGTGGTAGATGGTCTGCTTACAGGTGTTAGGTAATCTAAAGAATTTGCTTTTACGAATTTAGTTTCTAATTTATCATATTGCATGGAAGTATTATTTGTAGGGAATAATTGCGGTGTATTGAATTGATTCCAATATTTTAGTTGTTCATTTTGTTTGCTAACAGGTGAGAATGAAGTAACTTGTTGATTGGAATTCAAAACTTGGTTCAACAAGAACTCAGCTGCTGTTGGACTATCTAATTTTTCGGTATGCGAAGTTTTTTTAGACAAGGCAGCGGCACTAAAAATAAAGATATTTTTAAATGAATCAACTGTTGAACTATATTAATCCTTGATAATAATCGCAAACCTTGAATTATTATCATTGTCGATAATGGCCGAATGACGCCCGGTGAATAAGATAACTTCTTCTTCTGTTTCATCGTCGGCTGTATCGCTACTCTGTCCCTTAGGACTACTTGATGCAAAAGATTGAGATTCAGCTAAATTAGCATCATCCCGGTCAATAATCAAATCGGGGTTAACTTTAGGTACATCATAAGATTCTTCCATAATTTCATGTTCGATTGGACTAAGAGCGCCAATAGGGGAAATGATTTTACAAGGAGGTTCGCTTGCACTAAAAATACCGTCATAGTAAAATAATTGGGACAACTACAATAAATTAAGATATTTATTGTTATTATAGATAATTGATTATTATTAATATTATAGAAAATAAATAATTTTCGGTACGCAAACCTCAGAATCAGAAATCCTTCTTGCATCTTTAAAAATATCATAAATACGCATGTCTAACTCTTCAAATGGCTCACCCTGGTCTGCCAATGCATTTTTGTCAATAAATAGATGATTTTTAAGGACCAGGAATCCATTTAATTCAAAATCTTCTTTTAAAGGTACATCAAGAGGAATGCCTTGCTCATGTGGGAACAATCTTTCCATCGTATTAAGAAATTCAGCAAAATATTCCCAAAATCTAGCAAAATTAATAAACTCGCCCTTAACGTTAGGATCTTTGGAGATAACGGTGGACATAGATTCTATATAATCGAGGCTCAAATAAACCCATTTTGTTCCAACACGAAGAGTCGCAAGACTTCGTTTAACAGGAGCAGGAAGAATTTGGACTGCATTATGCCTATCTGATCCATCAATAGAAATATCTGCTAATTCAGAGTTACACATGTCTAATAACGCTGTTAGAGAATCTAATACCAACAAGATCGAATGTTTCTCAACAAGAGCCTTTTTGGATGATTGTGAATATGCGGAAATGACTTTTGGACTATGGTTAATTGCCCCATTTTCACCTAATTCGAAAATTCGAATTAAGAATTATATTACAGATGATAATAACTAATAAAATGCTAAATATCAATAAATTTAAACGTACTGTTGGTAATGAGTCGAATTACATATAATGCTGCCATATTTATCGCGGTTAATTTTAAAAGATGATCGGGATCTAACGTACGTGAAAGAGCATACTCTTTCAACTGATTCAAGACAGACTCTTTTAATTCGGAATAAGATTCCAAACTAAAAAATAAGTAAACAATTTTTTTTTTTTTAATAGAAACAAAAGTCGCAATTTGTCAAATTGTCAATAATATATATGTAATGATACTTTACTTTACTTTTAGATACAAAATACTGTGCAACCTAATAAAATCAGCAAAAAAAGACTGAATAGTTTCACTTGCTTTTAATATATTTGACTGAGTCATTGATGTCGATGATACTTGACGTTGATGAGAAAAACGTCTCTTTCCGCTAAATTCTCGCTGTTCTTTTTGGGTTTCACTGTCAGGAGGATCGGTAGCGGATCTTTGGGCCTTATGAAACAAAAGACTAATATTATCTTTTGCAGTCAAAAATTGATGTTTAACAACAAGGCTGCGGTAATAATGGTAGACGGCAGAAAAGTCATCAGAGTTGTAAGTAGCGATAACAGCCAATTGGTTATGAGGGTTACCTATATAAAATAATTTTTAAAGAATTAAAGATTAGCAAGGTTTATAATTGCGTGATATTGTTATACAAAACCATAATCATAACTAAACCTCAGAAATTTACCACTCTCGGGAACTAACTGTCTAGCATGATTATAATAATCACATGCGGTGGACCAGTTTTTGTTTGATCTATCACTGTGTAATTCACGATAGCGAGCTAAATTACAAAGTCACAATGATTTATCTTAATTAGTTAACTGTCAACTGTAGTAATACATTTTTAAAACTAAATGCTAAACTTATACCCACCCAAATCACCTAGAAAAATTAAACTCTTATGGCAACTAAGAACAGCTCGTTGTTTAATATCTTCAGAGTAAGAACGTTGAGAGACATCAGTGGGCTCTGGAAATATAAATGTGAAATGGTTAATCAACAATATATAACTTCTTAATATATTTCAACTAATACCTATTGTTAAACCAAATTTTTTGATAACTGGATCCAACTGCTTCAATTCAAAATGAATCGCAAGTTTCTGAATAAAAGAATAATAAAACCCTGTCGCTTCATGCAGAAAAGAACGAAAAGAACTGGTCAACTTTTTGGAGGTTGACTTAGTTTTTACATTAGGTGCGGGTAACTATAAATAATAATTAATTTAATAATCTTTATATATAAACTTTTTTCGCTATCCACAAAAATTAATGATGAAATGCAAACTCACAGCACGGATCTTCTTCCTGAAATCCTCGATAACCTTGTAATACACATTCTTCCACAAATTCTGCTCAACTTCCTTAGATTGAGCCAATTCATAATCTAGGAAAATAATCTTTTCATAGGTATCTCTTAACCTATTGTTTTTAAGAATAAAAGATATGAACATTTAACTACCCATGAAAAATAACAAGACTAACGCTTTATACTAATATTATATATATGTACTTAGAGCGTAAAGTAGCAACATGTTTGTCAAAAATCGATCTAGATTTCGTAGCTTGACGAAGCTCAACTTCCAGTTCAACCGAAGATCTAGAAATGTTTGAAAATAACCAAAAAATAAAATAAAAAATAAAGTAAGTAATTAGACATTTAATTATATAAAGTGAGGATTGCTAGAGCTTCTTAAAGTTTTTAAATAATCAACACATCCTTTTGTCAATCATAAACGCGACAAAGAAAAATAAAGGATTTCATACTTGTATAAATCTAAAGCAGTTTGGCGATCCGAGGAAGGCATCGTCAATAGTTGAAATAAATTTAATTGAAGAATCTATTTCTAAAATCTATTGCTACAAGTTAATTCATTCGAAAGAACCATATATTTATCAGCCTTGCTGTCACCTTTCGCCACACAATATATTCAGTTGTTTGAACTTGTATTGAATAATACAAAAAAAGTTAAGTTATTTAAATGTGATGTCACGTGAAACGCCTTCGATAGTGGCGCAGTTGATTACAACATTTACCGATCGTTCTTATATATTATGTAAAATTTGTTATCCTCTTTTTAGTAAATCTTATGAGAATATTGCTAGGAAATCAGTTTTTGAAAACATTTTAATAAACTTTTAATTTTATTGCATTTTAATTTTTGGTGATATTAAATAAGATTTAAATTTTAGAATAACAACCTTTTTATACAGAATAGTATATACTGTAAACCTAAAAAATTTGATAAAATTTAAATTATTATTTCTTACTCAAAAAAAATGTTTAACTATAGAACCCCTATAAGAAATCCAAATAAATTTTTTATACATAATTGATGATTCTGTATCACAATTCCATATATATTTTTATAATTTTTAGAAAAAGAAAAAATAAAACTCTTTCCTACTTCACCTAAAATTTTTGGAAACAAAAATTTTTATAGAAAATAAAAACTCTTTGCTCAATAATTTTTATTAATATTTTTCAATTCTGTTAGTTAGTTATTCATTACTTTACAATAAATATTTTATTCTTGAAAGAGTTTTTATCAAAAGTACAAACAAATAATAGCTTTAAAAAACAGCAGACAAAACACTAGACAAAAAAAAAACTTTCTATTTTGACTCCATAAGTAATAAATAACCTAAACCTGTTTCAACTTCTGAAAGTGCTCTTTCCAATAACATCCTCTTAAATGAAACTATTATTGCTGAGACTTTCCTTTCTAAAAAAACACACCATCTGAATGTTTTAAACGAGGATGAGTACGTTCTTATTGAAGACGAAAATATGGATACTGATAATTATAACATTATTATTATTCTATATCCAACACCTTTTGCTTTTATGCTTTATTCATTTTTAAGAACCACTATTATGCATTGATTAAGGATGGTTCCCATAATTATTTTAAAAAATTTTAACTAGTTGCAACTTAAGTTGCAACACTTTGAGTTGCAACTATTTATGAATTTTTATATTAAAATAAA